CCGTCAAGCGCAAGCTCAACGCTCTTATGTAGGTATGACCCTCAGTATGGCAATCATACCAACTACGAGTACATACTCTGCAGTACGGGGGAGTGACTACAGGACTGCTGAATCGGTAGCTACCTGATAAACACCGTCAATTAGCGACCGACTACTTGCAGTGTATTTCATCGATTACTTTTACAAGGCAATGTCCTAGGCAGTAGTCACCATCTGCTCTCTCTGCACTCTGTCGTAGTTTTTCGCTATTCTACTTACGACTGCTTCGACTCTGCACTACCATGTGCACTACCACGGGTTAATAGAGTAGCTACCCTACAAGAATTGTGTGATGGAAACTAACACATTCTCATTTACCTTACTAACACATTTACAAACTTTGCGTTGATTAAAAAGAGACAACTAAATAATGCCATAAGTCGGAGGAAGACGGAACACAAATGTTTACATCAGATTTTTCACACTGCCCTTTAGAATTTGATAGAAACTTGTAGGCAGCCAGTGACAGAAATCTCTATCAGTATTGCCACTCAAATGATTTTTCAAATGATAGTCACTGTTCTTGTAGGGTACTTACCTTGGAGTCGGTGCAGTAGCGGTTCAAAAGTATCGATAGGGCGCTTTTGAATCGAATTCTTGAGATAGGGCGTTCTTGAAAACTTTTCTGAAATATGGCGATTTCCTCTCTTATATATATTCCTCTATTTGCATGAAAACAAGTATGAAAGGCTTAACTCGGGTGAAACCGACTTTTATATACCCTCGCAATATGTTCTGCGGACGTAAAATCTAGCATAGCTTTATCGGGTTCCATATACATTCCAAGCATTTTGCCATTTAAGTACATACAATCTTATCAAAGGCTAAGTTCGATTAAAACCGATATTGAAGTACTAGGCTAATTTGAAATAAATAAAGTTTATAATAATTGTTACAAGATTTTATTAAAAATGTATTACAATATTTAAAGATATAGTCATAAGCATTAATTATGTGATAAATAGAAAGAATTTCAAAGCAGAGGTTCTTAACAATAATGATTTCAAAATAGTAGTAAGTACTACAAGTACAAATGTCATTGGCCAGGACGTAGTATATATCGATTTTGAGTAAATTAGCTTAAATAGTTACTAATATATCGCAGTTTTCGTATTTCTGTAAATTACCGTTATATGGGAGGTGGGCGTGGTTCTTGTCATTTGCAAAGGGTTTCTTAGTGAGGCTCTCAGCAATGTTCGTACCGAGTTTGGTGGAGATTGGTGAAGGGACTACAGAGATAAAGCATTTCATCGTA